GAATTAATAAATTGAATTAGAATGTAGAATTGACTATTTATGTGTACATCCTGAGATGTTGGTACAAAAGTTTCAGTAGACACTCCCATTTAATTTTACTGTTACATGTATAATAAAATATCTAATGATTGTCTGATTGTAGATTTGATTTTATCATACTTACATTCCCGGGTTTAGAACTTAGAATTCATGAATCAGCCGAAAAGAAGGAATTTGAACCCAACAGATGAACTTTTACAGGGTTACTCTCTGTATTAAATTTGGATTGAATGAATCAATGAAAATATTGTGGTTGATGAATAAAACCAGATGGGATTGATGAATCATTCCTTTGATATGTCTGCTATATGTGTCTATTTCCTGGCATTTCATCAAAAATGTGGGCAGGCAATAAATTTACTTGAAATTATGTATTTCTACCCATATTTCTATAAATATTTGTCGTTGTCATTGTTTTGTATCAATCTCAGCAATAATTATATTTATCACATAATTACAAATATGTATTGTTTAACTGTTTGGAAAATGAAAATATTGATTGTTGAATGTGAAATAATATAGTACCCAATATAAATGTATGACTTGTTCCTGTGAATGTGTTTTTTTTTTTGCTACATAGGAATGCAGAAGTCTTGGTCATCTATGGAATTTGATGTGATTCATCAGGAATTTTGATTGAAAACAGTTCTGTTTGTATGACGTTTGTATGTCGTTTCACTGTGTGTTTATTCCGTGTTTCGTCACGCTGTGCAAATAGGCCTAGTAGTGCCATTTTAGAATACCTACAATACTACTGTATGACAAATATTGAAACTAAAAAAAACATTCATGTTAAGTTATCTAAAAAAAGAAAAGATTTTTTAAAATGGCTGTATGGTGGCGCTGTAATCAACATAAGGGCATTCGCTGGTTCCCGACGTCCCTTGCAAATGGCAAGTAGGACGCAGGTAACTAGTAAGACACTGTTAGACCTGCTTTCTGCATCAGTCTGGAATTGCTGCTTGGATTTCACTCATTAACCATGTAAAGCAATGATGAATGAGGGTGGTCCTATTTTTGTAGTTAATTGTCTTACAAGATTGTACATGATTGGTCACAATTCCCTTTATACACCTAAAATTCAAGCCAATCATAATGCAGCTTGTTTGTTGATAGGTTATTTCAATGTCTTGCACAGATGCATCAAATCAACTAAGTGACAAGTGATGTGACAAGTATCAGTAGATTCATCATGTGGATAAAAACACACAACTGTCATCCACTTTTTGGAAAATTAGCATATTCAGATTTGCTATATTTAACAACCAATCAACATCACTGTCACCCACTGACCTTGTGGGTAAAATCTTAAGAGCATATGTAGACTGCTATAGGAGGGGAGGGGGGGGGGTCCTGATCCATGGAATAAGTCAATGGTAACCAGGCTATGCAAATATCCAGTTTCAAGTCTTAATTTTGATATTTATATATTTCCTTGACAACTTCAGCTATGCCCAATTTTGTTACCCCTCTTTTATTGTGCATGAATAAATTATGTATTAATTGATCACTTCAAGTATTGTTTTTTTATCATTATTACCGTAATGTTTTTGCGTATGCATACTTTTTCTGTCTTGCCGTGTAAGAAAATTTATTCGTAACATGGTCACAGACTTGATTATTCCAATTTTCCATGACACCCTCACCAAATTATACTTTGGTGTTAGGATCTTCATTTATTTTATCATTTTCTGCTAAAAATTGTAAATTTGGATGTACTTATTTTTAGTCCCCGTTCGGACGGAGTCCGAAAACGGGAACTTATAATTCGGTCTCCGTCC